GTTGACATGGTCACAGGAATTTAAAAAGTTGACTTTCGGGGGCTGGAGAAATGGCTCAGAGGTTAAGAGCATTGCCTGTTCTTCCAAAAGTCCTGAGTTCAATTCCCAGCAACCACATGGTGGCTCTTCTGGCCTGCAAGCATACACACAGACAGAATATTGTATACATAATAAATAAATAAATATTTTTTAAAAAAAGTTGACTTTCTCCAAGTTCAACTAGATTCCAGGTGGCTGTTGGGTGGGTGGTGGGCAGTAGAGATGATGAAACACATTTACTAACAAATTCCTCTTACATTCTTAGGTGACAGGGACCAGAGCAGCAGCTGGCTTTGTCTCAAGGGACAGACCAGAAAGGGGTGGGAGGGAGGCCTGTCTGGTCTTAAAGTGACAGGCTTGTAATCCACTGCCTAAGTCCTGTGGACATCTTGTGGTCTCTGTATTCGCTGTCCCCACCCTGTCCCCTACCTCAGGGTCCTCAGAGTATAGTTTAAAACTCACCTGAAGGGGAAGCCCGCCCTTCCTCGGACAGAGCGTGCAGCCTCTATGTGTGCAATCTCCTCACTCTGTGCCTACCTCTCACCTGCAACTTTCTCTTTGGGGTTCAGCCTGGCAGCCCTTAATTGCCCTGCCCAATCCCCGTCTTCTCTTTCTTGGGACCCCAGGAAAGTTGTTTTCTCTTTCTGAGCCCATTGCCACTCCTGTGAGTGGGAGATATTTGTCCCACAACTCCTGAGTGACAGCTATGAGCTAGGTAGCAGCTGGAACTATTTATCTGACTCAGAGGCTGCCAGCTAAGCAAATGCATAGCATCAGTTGGTGGTCCCAGGCAAGTGCTGGGGTTGGGATGGGGGTGCAGGCATTCTCTGGAGAGGTAAGGACATCAGTCTCCTTCTTCTGGCTTTGGAGGTCTGGGTGACCCCGTCACTCTCAGGCTTGTTGCCTGTCCATGCTAACTCTGGGGTGGCTCCAGACAGTCTCGAGGCCTTCAACAGAATTGCTGAGATTCCTTCTAAACCATCCTCCTCGGACCGTTTGTCCCACCACTCCACTCCTGCCCTTGCCATCTGAAGGAAACAAGCTCCTGTTTTCCACTCACCCGTTGCTCAGCAGCCTTATTACCACAAAACTCCACGGTGGCTCTCAATGGGAGTAAAAACCCTTTCCCTCGGGGCCCGAAACTTCCCCACCTGTGTGTCTGGCAGCCGACTGAGAGGGGCCAGGAACCTGCCACTTCCAGGTTCCCGCCTACACTCTGCCCCGCCCACCTCTGCCAGCAGGGACGTGGCAGGAACTTTGCTGTGAACCCTATCTTTGCTCAGGACAAGGTCACAGTCACAGCCACCACCAGCCACTTTAGAGGTTTATTGGGGTTCACCCTGCCTGAAGCTTCTTGAATATACAAGGTCTTTTTTTTTTTTTTCATTTTGTTGCTTTTCTTAAAAAAGGGCCTTGCTATGTTGCCCAAACAGCCTCCTGCCTTAGCTTCCCTCGGTGCTGGGATTACAGGCCTGTGGCACCACCCTTGGCAACAAGGCCCTTCTTTAAGCAAAAGACTACAACCTGAAGAATACATAACAAGACAAGTTGCCAAGAAGGTGAGGTCAGAACAGAAGCCTGCGGGAAAGACAGTCTACACCACTGCAATGGAAATAGTTTCTAGGCACCCGCGGCCAGGCTCAGTGGGGCATTCCTGTAACCCAGCACTCCTACGACAGCCTGGGCTTTGTAGTCAGAATCTGCCCCTACCCCCCAAAAAAAGCTTACAGGTATTCAGGATGTGCAACAAAAATAAAGTAAAAGCTGAAAAAAGATTTGCTTGTCTTATGCAACCACTTGGCAAATTGTTTGGCGGTGGTGAGGGAAATCTACTCTGTAGGGCCTCACAGCCACCCCATGTGGGCGTAGGCATCAAGGGCTGTGCTAGAATGTTCCCCACTGTGGATAATAGCTCCGAACTGGTGCATGATTCAGACAATGATGCCCCAAAGAGAAGCAGGACCTCTGACCTGTCCTCCTCTCTCCTGCCTCCTCTTGGCTGTGGATCCTGCAAATGTTGAGTCATTTGGCCTCTGCTTCAGTTTCTTCTCAGGGAAAGTGGGTTGAAGATTCTGCAGAAGGTGCTGGAAAGGAGTGAGTTACTACACCCCAAACATGTGTCTAGAAAGTGCTCAGTGAACCTGAACCCTGACTGCTGCTTCTAAGGTCACTTCCTCCTCTCAAAGTGGGAATTTGGGTGCAAGGAGTTTCTTGGGGAAGTAGCCCTAGGAAGTCAGTGAAGACAGGAAGGAAGGAAGGAAGGAAGGAAGGAAAGAAGGAAGGAAGGAGAGAGATGGACACTGAACTGGGACTAGTCCCTGCTGTCAGCCTGGCACTGGAGCACTGAGACCAGCACTCAGGACTGCTCCCTAGCACAGGAGTGACCGAGCAGCCCTGGCCTTTGCCTTTCACCTGGGCTGAGTACTCTGCAGCCAAAGGAAACTCTTTGCTGAAGGCTGCAAAGCAAGATAGGGCACTCGGTTAAGCTAGAAAACAGTGAAATTCATTTTCTGGTTTTTTTTTTTTTGCTTTGTTTTGTTTTAATGAGCAGGAACATTCCAGAAATTTGGCGCATACTTACATTAAAAACTATCCATTGTTTGTGTGAAAATAAGTTTAATTGGGTTCCTGTGCTTCCGAGGTGGGAGTGGGTGAGGAACATTTGTTAGCTGCTGGCTGGAAGCTCGGTTGGGGCTGTGAACTGGGAGCCTTGGTCCCCACAGGAGTGTTTCTGCCTTGCATCTTGGCCGTGCTCCTCCCCGTGTGGCACATGCTTTTTCCAGGAGCCACTGATGATCTTGAGGGTTTTGCTTGTGAATGTTCTGCTGTTTGTTTGTTATTACAGGCTTATCCCAGGCTGTTCTCACTATATCTATGTGGCCCAGGATGAAATATACACGCACACACGCTCGCGCGCGTGCGCGCGCACACACACGCACACACACGCACGCACGCACACACACACCCTACCCCACCCCACCTCTACTGACCAATCGCTGGGAATATGCGTGTCTGCTGCCATTGCCTGGCTCCCCTGAGGCTTTTACAGGTCCCTATTGGTCTAAACAGCCTCAAGTACGGTCAGCAGGGATTTTAGGGGATATATGGTTAGTTTCACTTTCTGTGGACTCTGGATCTAGAATGTCTCCCCAAAGCCCATGAGTGGAAGGTTTCCAGACCATAGTGCTATCGGGAGGTTTAGAACCTTTGGGAAATGGGCCCATTAGAAGAAAGCTAGGACGTTGGGGGCACCACCTTAAAGGGACTATTGCAGCCTCAGTCCTTCTCTGTGTCTTTGCTTCCTGGATGTCATGGGATGAGCAGTTTTAGCCTCCTCTGGCTGTGATGTACTCTGCCACCACAGGCCCTCGGAAACTGTGAGCCAAAGTCAACCTTTCCTCTTTGCAAGTTGAATTTTCTCAGGTTATTTTGGTGCAGTGACCAAACACTAACACATTTATTAATGCAGGAATGGGGTTTGTGGGTGTGTGTACACACACGCACGTGCACATGCAGATGGAAAGGGGGTGCTGACAGTGGCCATCTTGGGAGTGACTTGACTGTAACGAGAAAGCAGTTCCCTTTTTTGGGGGGTCACTTGACAACTGGGCGTGAAGCCAAAGATTCCACGTGTACAAAGCACATGCTCACGCCAGCCGGGCAACTCCTTCACACTCGTCCCGTCTGCCAGTTACATCATGGTGTGAGGACAACTTTAATTCTCTCCCAAGTGCTGCCTTGTCTCCTATAGATTGTGCCTTCTTATGTGAACTCTAAAATCAATGTAGTGGATACAGAGACTCAGTGTGTAGCCCAGACTGGCCTTGAGCCTGCACCAGTCTTCTCAGCATGGCCAACTGGGTGATGGGTTACAAGGGTACAAGTGTGTGCTTCCATGCCAGGATAAACGCTAACTCCTATCTAATTAGCAACATCTAAACATGCTCAGAAGTAGAAAACAGGAGTCCCTACCACACAGCCTCAACCCCACCGTGTGTTTCATTGCTTCCTTTTTGTTGTGCCTTGGTGGGGGGGGGGGAGCAGAGTCTCATTATATAGCTCTGGTTGGTCTTGAACTCAGAGAGAGAGGCCTCTATTTTCCCAGTGCTGGATTAAAGGCACAGAACCACCATGCACAACTGCTTCTGCCTACTTCTCAGTGAGGAACAACAAACTATTGTAAAAGTAAGGAAAATGTTCTGCGACATTGTGTTACATTTATATGTGTCCCTTTTGTTTTCTTTGTTTGAAACAGGGTCTCACTATGGAGCTGTTGTGTATCTTTTTGTGCATCTGAATCAGAATTTAAGTCCCGGAAAACTTCCATCGTTGGTTGGGTGCAGTTCAGTGACAGAGGCTTGACCCCCCATACCAAAGCACATTTGGCTTAGGAAGAGAGCAAGCTTCCTGGGCTCTGCAGCCAGACTCCTTTAGCATTAGCATTCTTGATTGGCAGTATTTTTGTATTGTTACCTAAGTGAACTTGACCCATCAGAGCTCTTTTTAATAGATCCATTTCTCTCTCTCTCTCTCTCTCTCTCTCTCTCCCCCCTCCCTCCTTCTCCCTCTCCTTTTCTTTTCTTTTTCTTTTTTTTTTTAAATCAGCTAATGGTAGAACAATTTAGGAGTTCCGGGGGTGGAAAATTCCTGAGCTGCAGGAACCGCAAGGCAGAAGCGCCCCCAGCTGGCCGTGTCTGTCCCACTTTCCTCTCGACCGCGCCCTGCTGGCTGGGGTGGGGTGGGGGCTGAGGTGGGGGGGATTGCTAGAAGAAGCGGGCTAGGGAGCTGCGGGGATGAAATGCAGCGGTGATAGGAGCTAGGGAGTTGGGGAGTCAGGAACTGGGGAGCTAGGGAGCAGAGAAACTGGAAGTGATGGCCACCTGTGGGACTGGGGAGCTGGTTTGGAGTTTGGGGAGCTGGGTGCAGAAAACTGGGATCTGGTTCTGCGGGGGAGCTTGGTCCGCGGAGCGTGGGGACCGACGTGAGGTAGGCTGGGCTTGCGGGAGAAACTGGGGAGCCTGAAGGCTGGGTGTCTGTGGGCTGGGAAGCTGCAAACACACACACACCCGCGCGCACATACGCACCCCGGCTATCGGCAGCCACCTCGTCTGAGGAAACCCGGCTTGGGTGGCTAAGTGCTGCGTTGGGCTGAGTCTTGGTGGCCAGAACATCTGGAGCTGCTGCAGGAGGGAAGTCTGGAATGCCTATGGTGCCTGCCGCAAGAGGGCAGAAGGGCGATGGTGCTGTTTGCACGTCGCTGAGAAAGCGCTGGACCCTGGATCCCATAAGCTTGCGGCTTCCCACCGCACTCCCACCGGGTGAAACAGTCCGATGTGGACTAAGTACAGCGCAACCTAGCAAGCTTTGGTTCTTGAGCCTGTGAAGAGATTGGACTCTTTACCCAGTGAAAGGAACTTAAAGAATTTTCATTCAGCGTGTGCTGGAGGATAATGTAATTATGGGGATGAACAGATTAGAAAGAGAGTTGGGCAGAAAGAAAAGAAAAAACAAAGGAAAAGCGGGGTGTTCAAACTTCCTTAACGTTTGTACAGCTTTGGGTTCCATTCGAGAACTTTCTCTTTTTGCTTTTGGAAACAGGGTTTCTCTGTGTAACAGCCCTTTCTGTTCTGGAGCTCAATTTGTAGACCAAAGATCCGCCTGCCTCTGCCTCTTAAGTACTGGGATTTAAGTGCTTTTTAGCAAAAGAAGCCAGCATGGAGAGATGGCTTGATAGCCGCTTGCCTCCAAGAGCGATGAGCTAAGCTTGATTTGCAGGATCCATATTGTAGAAGGAGAAAAAGGACTCCAGGATTTCTTCTGACCATATACACACACAAATGCACCGCGCGGTGCGCGCGCGCGCGCACGCACGCACACACACACACACACACACGATGGATGGATGGATGGATGAACAGGCAGACAGACAGACAGATAAGATTGAAGAGCCAGGCAGAGTGTTGCATGCCTTTAATCTCAGCACTTGAGAGGGTGCGGCAGGCTGAACGTGCTGTCCTGCTCTATATACGTGGAGTGACCCTGTCTCTAAAACAAGAAGAAATAAAATGGGAAGAGGAAAGAGGCCATCTGTCCCCACTCTCTACAGGGGACTCTGGCTTCTGCACCTGCAGTCTCTTTCTCGGAGTACACTTCCACATGCACAAATAAATACACAAATCATTACCCTAAAATTTCAGGGATGTGGGCTGGAGAGATGGCTCAGTGGTTAAGAGCATTGCCTGCTCTTCCAAAGGTCCTGAGTTCAATTCCCAGCAACCACATGGTGGCTCACAACCATCTGTAATGAGGTCTGGTGCCCTCTTCTGGCCTGCAGGCATACACACAGACAGAACATTGTACACACAATAAATAACTATTTTTTAAAAATTTCAGGGATGTAAGGAGTGTCACATAACTTTATTAAAATTGGTTAATAAGTTTTGTTTGTGTGTATGTGTGTGCATGTGGAGGCCAGAGGTCAATGTTGGGTGTTTTCTATAGTCACTCTCCACCTTATTATTTTTCATTTGTTTTTATTTTTAGTTATATATGTCTTAACTTGGTTTCTATTGCTACGATTAAACATCATGGCCAGAAACAACTTGGGGAAGAAAGGATTTATTTGGCTTACACTTTGATGTCACACTTCATTACTGACTTAAGCCAGGGCAGGCATTCACCAGGGGTGGGGTGGGGGTGGGGGGTAGGGAGAGAGGTGGAGTGGGGTGGTGGGGGATGGGGAGACCTGGAGACAGAAACTGAAGCAGAGGCCACAGAGGAAAGCTGCTTACTGGCTTGTTCCCCATGACTTGCTCAGCCTGCTTTCTTTTGCTGCTGTGACCACTAGCCCAGGGCTAGTACTGTCCATGTAGCTTGGGCCCTCCCACATCAATCATTAATGAAGAATATCCCTGCCCCCAGACTTTCCTATAGGCCAGTATGATGGAAGCATCTTCTCAGTTGAGGTTCTCAGAGGACACTAGCTTGTCAGGGAAAAACTCACCCTAGCGTATATGGGTGTGTGTCTGTGTATGGGTACATAACTGATCTTTTAAAATAAATATGTGGAGCCAGGTGGTGGTGGTGCACGCTTTAATCCTAGCACTCGGGAGGCAGAGGCAGGTGGATATCTGTGAGTTTGAGACCAGCCTGGTCTACAAGAACTAGTTCCAGGACAGGCTCCAAAACTACAGAGAAACCCTGTCTCAAAAAACCAAATAAATAAATAAAACAAAGTAAATAAGTGACAACAGGGGCTGGAATGACAGCTCAGTGGTTCAAAGGATCTGGGATCTGGGTTCAGTTTCTTGCATGCATGTTGTGGCTCACAACCACCTGTATTGTAATCTAGTTCCAAGGGGCCCAGTCCCCTCTTCTGCCTTCTTCAGGCTCCAGGCCATGCATGCAGGCAAACACTCACACACACAAAAATTGACTGAAAGGAGAAGGCAAAAGCACCTTGGCCCGAGTACTGCCATTTTGATTTCAGACTCCATTTTACCTGCAGGGTGAAGTAAAGTTCAGGTCCCCAAGCCCTAGGGGAGCTGAGAACTTTCCAATGGCTGACCAACCCCCTCCCTAAACCATTGAAACAGTTGCTATGCATCTTTGGTTCTCTAGGAACATTACGGATGTTCCTTTTTGTTTTTTTTTTAAAACTTTTATTGATTCTTTGTGGATTTCACACCATCCATTCTGATCCCACTCATCTCCCCATCCCTTCTGCCCTTGTAACCCCCCCCCCAAAACAAACAAAACAAAGAAACAAAACAAAACAAAAATAAAAAGAAGAATTGTGTTGCGGTGGCTGTAGTGTGACTCACTGAGTCACACAGTTTACCTTTGGTCCAGTCATCTTTACTGCAGTGTTCATTAAAAGACGTAGGTCTGGTTCAAGACCTCTCCTTTCTGCCGCCACTGATCATGGGCTCTCGCTGGGGCTCCTCTTGGGTTGTCCTGTGTCATGGAGATCCTGCTGTTTTGGATCTGTAGGTTCACCCCCTTCCCACGCTCCAACAGTTCATAGATGAGGTGGATGTTGGGGTGGGGCACCCCATAGCCCTGGTTCTGGGCCTGGGTGGTAGCTGGGTTGGTCAGTTTGCTAATTTCCCTCATCCTAGGCAAGCCCTCCAGCACTGCCTTGACTCACTCACTTGATGCAGCCTGCAGCAAGGAGCAGGGCCAGTTCTTCTGCTTTTGGGCTCTTAGGTCCGGGTTCCCCTCACTCATATTGCCAGGGCCAATTCTACTGTTTTGCCAGGCAAGGTGCAGGGCCCCCTCTCCCATAACAAGTCTAAAACAAATGTCTAACAACAACAAAACCTCAGAACTGGAGAGAGGATTGACTTTGTATGGGCTGCTGGGCAAGTGTGAGGACAGGACTGCGCATCTCAAGCACCTGCATGAAAACCCAGCGGGTGGAGCCATGGCCCAACAGTTAAGTGCGCTGGCTGCTCTTAGAGGACACTCACTCGTTCAGTTCCCAGCACCCACATGGCAGCTCACAACTGTCTGTGACCCCATTTTGAGGGGATCCAGTGCCTCTTCCGACCTTCATGGGCTCCTGTACGCACTCGGTGGACATACGGACACATACAATAAAATAAGTATATTTTTTAAAAAGCCTGGAGCGGCAGTGCGTATCTGTAGCCCTAGCGCTGGGAAAGGCAAAGAGGTGCAGAACCCAGGTGCGTGCTACCCAGCCAGTCTAGCAGAACCTGGAGCTTCAGGCTCAATGGGAAACTTTAATTCAAAAAATAAGCTGGGCGGTGGTGGCGCACGCCTTTAATCCCAGCACTCAGGAGGCAGAGACAGGCGGATCTCTGTGAGTTCGAGGCCAGCCTGGTCTACAAGAGCTAGTTCCGGGACAGGCACCAAAGCTACAGAGAAACCCTGTCTCAAAAAACAAAAACAAACAAAAAAAAGGTGGAGCGTTATAAAGTAAGACGCTGGACTTCCATATGCTCACACATAGGGGTGTGTACATCCTCGTACACATACATATTTCACACACATACGTACACACATGCAGGGTCTCTGGGACCTGCGTGGTGACAAAGTGACAAGCTTCGGGAGACAAGAAGGCCATTCAGCACAACACAACTCAGTAGCCAACGTTGGATCAAACTGCAGGAGTTTATTTGAGGCGTATTTAAACAGCACAAGCTTGTGAAAACGATAGATCCTTGCGATGGATGAGCGATTAACTCAGCCCCATCGGCATAACCAAGCAAACGTAAATCTCTCTGGGGAACAAAGTAAGAGACACACAGCTGTGGTTACGTCGAAACTTGTCATAAAATAGATGTGGCACCTTCCACAAAGATGGGTTCTACACAGTGACTGAGAAGAACAAGCTGATGAGAAGGCTCTGGGGGAGGTGGGGAAGGTTCTGGTAGGGGAGGACCTGGAGGAGGTGGGGGAGGGTCTGTTACTGGAGAGTCTCCAGCCACACCGAGGGCTCAGAGGTCACCAGGCTAGAAAGCACAGCAGCTCCAGCCTTCTGGGTGGAAAACAGGTTTTGCATTCCTTCCCTCGAAGGAACAACCCTGTATGCTTAACATTCCAGGTTTCCCTAGTGCAGGGGTTCTCAACCTTCCATAATGCTGTAACCCTTTAACACAGTTCCTCATGTTGTGGGGACCCACAACCATAAAATTATTTTTGTTGCTACTTCATAACTGTAATTTTGCTACTGTTATGAATTGTAATGTAAATATCTGATAGATAGGATATCTGATATGTGGCCCCCCCAAAAGGGCTGTAATCCCTTTGGGAACGACTGCCCTATTGTATGTCTGTAAGCAAAGGCCTCTGTGTCGTCCCCAGCCCTGCCCCCAAATCTAAAACTCTGAGAAAATACACAGAAAGGAGACACAAAAAATCAGTCAGCCAGTTATTTCCTTATTAGGCGCAACAACTGAAATTCTGGGAAGGCGGGGCCTGGTGAACCCGGCTTGCATGAGAGACTGTCATTTGGCCTGATC